GGACTGCCCAACTGGAGTTAGTGGGGCCTTGGACCTGCTGTGTGTGGGCACCAGGATTCATATTACTTAGTTATTATTATTTTCTTGTACTTTCTAGATTATTGGATGCTGCTTTGGCGTGTAAATTTCCCAAGTCTGGGATAAATAAAGTATATTCTATTCTATTACTACATTTAGTCAGTTTCCAGGCTCTATAGTCTACAACGGGGTATGATAATAAAACTGTGATTCCCAATTGAGCTGTGTTCACACATTTAAATTCTTAGCATGTGGTTGTTTGACATGCTGGTGGTCTTAGTTCTACCCTGACTGACATGGTTCTGTGTCGTATTCCTCACACAGCTCATCTCACACAACACTGCTCATCCCTCCCGGCCGCCGCCAGCCTCCCCATGCAAAGCAGAGGAGCAATGTTCTGCCACTGTCAGGCAAACACAGCTGGAGAAAAAAAAAAAAAGAAAGATGAGAAATACTTTTGGGTTTGTTGCTGTTGGCTTCAAAACTCTAAAGAATTCTGAAAAGTAAAACCTGTACTGAATTGCCTTTGTGTCAAAAAATCTTTTCCCCACCGTCGTTGAAGGTGAAATGACAAATTGCCTTGATGCCGAACTGAGAATCAAAAGAGAAGAAAAACGGCAATGACACACTGCAGCCTTAATGTCAAGCGTCTGGAGCCGATGTTCATTTTTCCGATTTGACGCTGCGGAATGTTATTCGATAATAATCAAAAGGAAGGTTTTCCTTTCTCTTCCACCACTCCACCTCTGCACATTTGCATTTTTTGTTTTCCACAAAAGATTCTACTGTAAAGGAGACTGCACTTTGTTTTGGAGGACCTTGAGTTATGTGGTGATAAAGTTTAGGATTAATTCCTACTGACAGTGCAGGTGCTCACCTTCAACTTTCTACTGCAGGAAACATATTTCACAGTTTTGCCAGCGCCAGGAAAAGTAGGACACGAGATAACCCAGCCAGCAGATGGCTTTATTTACAGCGGTTAATTGCTTGTGGAGACTTTTGTTCATCTGTTTACTCTTATCGAGGAGTTGTCTCTTTATAAGAACGAGTCAGATGTTAAAACAGAAAATTGCAAATGATCACTAATAGTATGTATTAAAAAGCACCTCCCAGTTGACTCACATTTGTAATAGCTGGTCAGAACTCTTATCCTATTTGGGGCTATAATTAGCAAAATACAACAGGTAATAGGTTTCATCAAGCTTGTTATGAGACAACATACAGCCACACATTACATTTATTCTTATTGACAGCAGCTCAGGCGGCATTTAGAAATGGTGATCTGACAAATAAATTTTTCATGCAAGTGACTGCGATGGTTAGGCAAATACTTAAAACGTGCTTCTCTTATCTGTTTTGATCCCGTCTCTAATCTTGATCAGCTATGGCCAAGACCCATCCTGTAGTATCTGAATACAGGAATCCAGAACGAGCTGTTACGTAGCAGGTCGGCGTATAGAAAGCAGAATGTTAATCTGCCGTGTAAATTATTTAGCTTCATGCAAATATTTATCACACAATCAGCAACAGTGCATCGCACCGAATATGGCACAACTTAAACCATCTGAATTCAGACTTTTGATAATTTTTGTATTCATGATGGCACCTTTAAATGAATGGTCTCCACAGGCTAAAAAGGTGGGACTCAGTGCACAGTCGCCCATTTAGTTCATCTAGATAACTCGCAGATTTTTTTTGTTTTTCTCCTTGCAGGTGATTAATTAGTCAACGAGTATGTAGCACTTCAGGTGACCAAGATTTTCTTCAGTTAAATAGTGCTGTAATAGTGTGAACTAGAAAAGCACTCTTGGAGCGCAGACCTCAGCCAAGCAACTCATTTCCACCCATACTGTGATTTCCACCTGTTGTGTGCTCACCTTAATACTTAATTAGGCGAATCACTCTGAATTAAATCAGGACTTAAAGCGTTATATTTTGAGATGCTTTAATGAACAGGTGCTCTCAGAGGCTCAGCCTGAATTCCAACATCCAGCTCATACGTCATCACGCATGCACATATCATACCAATACATGACACCACCCAATGTTGGCATAACAACAGCGATGTTGTTGCTAACACAAACAGAGAGGGAGTAACTTAAGCTAGGTTAGCACAACTTTAGCAATGCAACGTAAATGAAAAGCACGATCGATGAAGGCACGTGTCATTTGTCATGATACATGGCAAAGAGACTAAAAGTGACACAAGAGACATGTTGAGTCACTGTTAATTTCTGAACTTATCTGTCAGTGGCTCCACTCAGCCCACTCCTGTAATGCTGCCTGGCTGTAGCTTACTCCTGTACTACTGAGAAGACAGCGGTGAGGACTGAATGGAGTCAGAGCTCCATCTAGTGGACAAACGGCACAACGACAGCATTCTGATTGTGACACTTAACAGCATTTACTGTTTTATTAGAGAATAACCAGATGATAAGCCAGAACATCACCAAAATGTAATCATCTGTTCATTGTGCCATTATCAACATTTCCTGAAAATCAGTTTTATAATTTTTATAGTTCACCAACAAACAAACAAACCAACAAACAGATAAACACTGGCCAAAACATAACCTCCTTGACAGAGGTTATAATATAAGATCATATAACATCACATAATATAATACAATCCATGCTATAATCCATCCATAATATATATTTATCCATGTTTACCTGATTGTGTGTTTTACTGTGCACCTACTTGAGGATGAACTTGCCTTAATTTAGCCTTAAAATGATACATAATGTAAAAATAATTTCACAAATTTGAAAGAAGACATGAAGCACCCGTTCTGCATATTAAATTGTACAAAAGTTATTATACATGAACTTTCATATCTTCAGCTAATTTTCTCTACGGTATAGTATTCCACAGTTGGCCACATAGGCCTAAAGTCCTGACAGTAAAATAGAATCCCAAGTATATGAAAACACAGAATTGACCTAAGCAGTTGTTATACCCAAGCAATTCTGGGTTTGCAAATCTTAGCATAGAGGCTACAGCTAGCCAACAAACATGCGCATAAACATGTGAATACAAGTAAAATAATTCAGAGCTGCCCAAACACATGCTCCTCCTGGATGTAAAGACCAGATGGAACTGTCTATATTTGATCATGGAGAGATTCTGCGAGCAGTTTCCTGCCATGCAGGCTGCAGCCATAGAACCATGGATAAGACAGTCCATGGAGAAGGAAAGGTGACTCACATTGAAAAATAATGATAATGTAGCTTATTTTAAACTTGAACTTTTGTTTGTTTATGCAACATACTGTAGGTAGCGCCTCTAACCTCAATGTAAGGGAGCAACCCACATTTCCTCTAGGTTCAGAAAGTTGGACTGACTGGAAGTTGAACAGTAACCCTTTTATTTAACAAAACAGGGCTCTTTCAAATAAAAGAAAATAAAATAGAGAGAAAAAGTTCAATGAAAGTGTCCTTTCTTCTATATCAGAAGACGGGGTTCAATCCTATGTTTTGTCATATGTCTGTTCGTTCTATTACCCGGGTAGGTTTTGTGGTGAACGTTCTTATCTGTGTCAAAGGGGGTGAGTAGATGACTGTGGTCTTCGGTGTGGATCCTGATCTCCGTCCGCTGTTGATCGCTTGGCTCACCACTGAACCGCTGAAGGTTCACAATCGTACCGAACAATCCCTGATCCAGCAAAAAAAAACACAATCTACACACATGGTGCAGAAAATAAATTTCAATTACTACTGTATCCATATTCATCACATGACTTTCTACAACTCCTACTCTGATTCTCTGCATATACACATCCAGATGCAGTACATACACTGTTCCAATCATTGTAAATGGTAATGTACACATTCACAGTACAATTATTATAACACAATTATTCATCATGAACTTGTATTTAACGTACTTAAACTTATTTATTTCATTAAGCAGTATTTATACTTTTAAACAGCTTTTTAAATCAATATTTACCTTTCTAACTGTAATGAACTGTATCAATTCACTCCTTTTTAATCAACATGAGTATCTAAATAACCTCAATGAAATAATCACATTATGTAGACAGTATAGTATACTAGAACAATAGTGTTACAACCTGACATCTTATTCCAAAACTTTCTCTCTCATTAAATATGGTGGTGACCTGGTAGTTTAGTCAGCTACACATTAGCCATATTAAACACCTGAGCTAGCTTAGCGGTGCTACCCGCGATTAGCGTTAGCGCGGTAGCTAGCGATCTTTCTAAAGTAATTTTTCATATATCAAAATGATACAATAGTACTACGGTGGGTTAAAGCACTGGATAACATCTCTGCAAATCCGACTGGTTTTTATGAAAGTATCTCACGAAGCAGCATGTTCACATGAGCTAACATCAACAAGCTAACAAAGTCTAGCCTAGCCTCTTAGCATGTAGCAATGCTCTTACCGGAATGCAACAGAGGGCTTACACGGTTGAAGCAGCTCCTCTCTTTCTCTCAACGACTCACAAGGCTATCTCCTAATAAATAAGAGATTTATCAATATATTATGCAGCAATTAGGGCATTGTATACGTTTCATACCCAGGTTCGTCAGCACACAACAAGGGCACACACGGTCAATGTCTCCGGACAAGCAGGCATTGCGTTGTTGTGTCCATGAATACAGGGCTGGTGCGCTGCCTTGTGGTGGACATTGTAAACTCTCTTAAATGACATAAATGGGTTTGGTACCCACTTGGGTTACATGTATATCTTTTGTGTTTTTGTTTTGTTTACATTTGTTTACATTTTGCTCCAATCAAATCATCAAGTCAACATACAGTGTAATTTAAGCTTTGTGACGTCACACCTTTCTGCCTGCCTGCCTGCCTTTGATCCTGATGATGACATCATGATGACATCACAATGAGCATTCCAAATTATACAAATAGTGAAAAATATCAGACACTTCAGTTCAGCGAAGAAGTTCATCGGTATTGCATTGTGTTATTTAGCGAATATAACCAGAAACTATCAAGATGTTCAGCTGCCAAAAGAAAAAAGCACATTGTCCAAAGGATATCCCTGATTGTCCGGCCACCACACCACCTGAGAAAAAAACCAAAAAGACTCCATCATGGTTCAGGTGGTTCTGCTGTACCAAGCAGAAAAACAGCTGTCAAGTGGCTCCAATAGAAGAACCGATTGTTGATGCCAATCGTGAGCATGGTGAAGCTCTTAAGCAGGTCCAGTCTCCTCTTGAAATACAAAGTTCTTCTATGGGCAAGAGAGTCAAAACCAGTGAGGACCAGGAGGCTTCACACACCACAGACGCCCCAAAGACAAGCAAGAAGCAGCAGAAGAAGGCTCCTTGGTGGCGTCGGTGGTTGCCATGTTTCCGTAAGAAACAGGTGGAGTCTCCTGTTGATGTCGATGGAACCGACAAAAGTCCTCACTCTGAGGCTGCCAAAGTCAACTTGGTGGACGAGTTGACCGATGGAGGAAACAAAAGTCCTCACTCTGAGGTTGCCAAAGTCAACTTGGCGGACGAGTTGACCGATGGCAAATCAGATGTATTAGATAGCGGCAGCCTTGTCTGCAACAGTGACGACAGCAGTGACGAAGAGTCAAGCGCTGACGTCATTGCAGAAAGTGATGCGCCAGTTTCCCTCCGGTCGAGGTCAGGAATACATGGTGGGAGCCGGCAGGTTGAAGCAACTGTCAGTGGACAGATAAATCCCATCATGTCCCCACCTCTCTGCAATGAGGATCTCGTCTGCCTCGGGTTACCCAACCTGGCGCAGACGTGCTATATGAATTCTACTCTGCAAAGCCTCCTGAGACTGAGTGGTTTCATTCAGGAAATCTACAACCACCAGCAGGTGTGGCTTTCCCACTCTGGATCTCAGGTTATCAGAGAGCTAGACAACGTTGGAGTCAGTCGCTTCTCCAACAACAAGATGGAGAAGAGGCTCGTACTGACTGCCTTCAAAGAGACTGTCGCTGACTTTAACTCAGAATTCCAGGACGACAGTCAAAAAGACGCCCATGAGTTCCTCAGCTGTGTGCTTAACATGATACACTCCCTGTCCTCTGACCTGCAGATGGCAGCAGCTGTCATGGGTGTCACATACATCTGCCCTGTCGATGCCCATGTGTTCTTTGAAATGTTGAACACCAGGACCTGCAAGGGATGTGGTTGTCAGTCCATGAGAGAGGAGCAGTATCTGAACCTCTCTCTAGTACCTGCAGGCTCAGTGAGCCACAGCCTGCAGGACTATCTGAAAGGCAGCCAGCTGGACTTTGAGTGTTCATGTGGCGCTGGAGAATCAACACAGCAGCTGTCGTTTTTGACTCTGCCAAATGTTTTGATCATCCAGCTTAACAGATTTAGGATCACTTCAACCTTCTGCCTGGAGAAGGTCAGCTTCCCTGTTGAATTGACAAGGGAGCTGGTGGTGAATCCTGAAAACACCATCACACAGACAGGGGCTCGCTACTCTCTGGTGAGCATTGTCAGCCATTTGGGTTCCACAGCGTACAGTGGACATTACATCTGTGACTCAAGTATGGCTCACCAAGCCCTGGAAAAAGGTGACACATCAGACCGTTGGCTCACCTACAATGATGAGCATGTCACCACGACAACAGGTGAATCTGTGTGTCAACAGCGGCAGAGAGCAGCATACCTGCTGTTTTATGAGAAGCAGTGAAGAGATTTTAATGGGATATCAAGCGGAAAATGGAAATGTGGAGACAAATTTATCAGAATTCAATCATGGTCGTTACAGCCCGTCTTCAGAGATCCTTTAGACAGGTTATAAAACTCAGTGTTTTATTTGTTCGTACCTTCTGACCGTGATCGTGCCCGGGCGGGCCGATCCGTCTTCAATGAGGATTGCAGCATTCAAACCAAAGCTGGCCGGCCTGCAGAAGTTGCCGATGACGTGTCTTAAATCTGAAAGCTTCGGAACGCCGTTACTCGGGAATTCGCCTTCATCATCCTCAGACATTTTTTAAAAATCCAGCAAGAGCTTCTAGTTGTAAAATCCCGCCTCAAAGCAGCTTAAGTGACAACGAACTTTTGATCTGCCATAGCTTCACCAGCTCAAAACTTCAAATCCACATTGGAAACATCGGCATCCCAGCTCCGCCCATCCCGTCAGTCCACCGGCTCCGGCTTCTCTGGGAACAGCTGGGATTTAACCACCTTCATCCAGCTTCAGCGTCCTCACACCATCATCGTGACCTCTGCTGCATGGCGTTTTTTAGAATCAAATTGAGAATAAGATTGTTGTGCAAAACTGAAATTGATGTTGAAATTGATTGTAAAAGTGTCATAACATACTTTAATCACAAAAATAAAGAATCAGAATTCATAATCAATTTAATGATTCTATTTGGCAAATTTCAAATTCACAAATGTAGACTGGCAGTTATAAAACCACATTTTATTCAATTTTCTATTGACTTTGAAGAACATATTAAAACATTAAATAAAATAAATACCAGAAAAAAGCAACAAAACTGTGAGAATATTCAAATATCTGTTCCAAAAAGATCAATAATGCTCCCTCTCTTGTCCCCTTAATGATTTTATTTTATTTATTTATTTATTTATTTATTTATTTATTTATATAAATGATTTATCTTTTATTCACATAAATAAATAAATAAATAGATAGATAGATAGATAGATAGATAGATAGATAGATAGATAGATAGATAGATAGACAAACAAACAAACAAACAAACAAACAAACAAATAAATAAATAAAGCCGTCATAGGATGTTGCCATGACTGAACCAAGGCCTAATGCACCAACTATTCCAGTCCTCTGGGCCAAAGCTCCAGACTGGGACCAATTTTTATGAACATTCGAGTTTAAAAATTTCGAATGGTTGCAGTTGTGCTGTTTCACTGTCGCTTTAAACCGAGGATGTGCATCTGCTATGTTAGCTGCATTGGTGAAACGTAATACTTTTAAACTTCAGTGGCTCTGTCAGTCTGTCCCTGCCCGGTGCATAAAACAAGCTGTTTAACTGCTGTGTGTTTCAAAGGCGGCAAAGTCGGTTTCTTGGTCATCTTTGACTATTCTGACATTAGAAAATGCTATTAAATTATTTTCAAAGTAATTTCAGTCACACCTGTCTGAGCACTGCAGGCACCAATCAGCAGCCTCGCCTTCACAGCGAGGCGTTCAGGGAACATCGGTGAGAAGAGAGGGGGAAAAAAAAAAAGCAAGCTAAAATATATAGGGTATTGCACATATGTCAAACTCAAGGCCCGCGGGCCAAATCTGGCCCGTCTCGTCATTCTATGTGACCCCCAAGAGATGTGTGTTTCTGAATCTGATAATCATTGGATTTACCTGCCGTAGAAATGTTTGTTCATAAAAACCTCTGCTAAAAACGCTGCTAATAGAACACTTTTCAACTTTGGCAAATTAGAAAATTAACGAGCTTACTGTTTTCCAGCTAATGTTTGGTCGCTCACCTGTCAGAGGAGCTGCACTGCAGACACCTGGTGGCATCTACCGGAGCAGCATGTGAGGCGTTTGGGGAACATCGGCAAATGTGGCATTTATCGGAACCAGCATGTGAGGCGTTTATGGAACATCGGTAAAATGTACCATCAACTCATACACATGTTCAGCAAGTGATTAGCCTGTGTCCAGGTAATGACTGATATCAGAAGAGGATTGGTGACAAAATAAATATATTTTCAGGTTAAAACATTTTACAAATATCAAGTCTTGTATCACTGAAAATCACTGCAACATAACTGAGTTATGCAAAAACAACTATTCATCAGCTGCATCAACAGCTGTGGCAACACTGAACCAAAACAAGGGGGTGGGCGACCCAATCATTAGCTGGTGCAACCAACAAAGAAAGTTGGCAGCACCAGTGCTACCATGGGAAAAGTTAGTGTGGAGCCCTGCTACATGTCTTACAGTTACAACTGGCCCTTTGAGGGCAAACATAAAGCTTATGTGGCCCAGGATGAAAATGAGGTTGACACCCCTGGGATTTTGCATTTATATTTTGAGCTATTTCATTAAATTAAAAAAAAAAAAAAGTCCATGTGTAAAATGGAGCTAAATTCACATTTAGTAATAACAAGGTGTCCCAGCTATTATATTATCTATGTGGGATTATGGCCACGATTAACAACACTACATGGATTCAGCCTTTCCAAGTGTCAGGTAAAGTCTTATATATGTTCAAGAAGGTGTAACCATTACTTTTATTCTAGGAAATTCAAAGCAATAAAACTCTATAAGGATGCAAATCAATACTTGGACTTGTAAGGTAGTTCGTACTTTCAATCATTTTCCGAAATGAAGATCACTTTGCAATAACGGCTCTTGTTTAAAACCCTCCTACCTTCAAATTTACTGACACCTTTTATCTTTGGGTTCAGTTTGAGCCCAGCAATTTAAACCTCCAGAAAAATATCATAATTAAAATTGCTATCCAAGTTTATGCGTTCAGATACTGACTTGATCCACTGTTAATGTAAAAATATTGATCATAGCTGCTTTACACCACTGACATTGAACCACCACCAACATTAGCCTGTTGTTGAAGCTGCAAACAAAGCATGTTTTAAAATTACTTAATAGGAGAAAATTTTTGAATTTTTTTAAAAAAATCAATTGATGGTTAGATATAAAGTGTCATATACTGTATTCAAGCTCTTACGTACTTCTGCAGTCTTGCCTGCATAAGCAAATCATAAGACTGAATGAATTTGGTCTACAGTGATTTGCTGAAAACAACAACAACAACAAAAAAACAACACACACACAAAAAAAACAACAAAACATGACATTGCACCACCCCAATGTGAGTAATAGTCTCAGCCTGGCCCCTCTATGAAAATGAACCAGCTCCTCCACTACAGAGTCAGTCCATTAAATTAACTATGAGATAAGTAGATAACAGCCCAAATGCTGTTGGAGTGTTTGTTGGTTCAACATGCTAAAAATATCTAAATCATTGTTGTGAATGTGGCATTATATTAGTGTAGTTCACATCTGTAATAATGTGTGTCACACTGTCCTTAATATGAGCAGTTATTTTGGGTTCACTGGGTATAAACTGGATTCTCCATTTTAACTGGTAAACAAACAGCTCACGGGCTGTGTTTACATGCACAGAGTTCAGTTCTTAACCTGGTCACTGGAGTGAAGTGAGTTTTGTGTCAACACTTGTAAATGTCATACCTGACATAGAATCTGGCTCAAGGTCCCGGTTTAACTCTCACAATAAACAGATGTGTGGTGCGTGAAAGATGTCTTTAATCTGTAGCAAGCGCTGCTCTGTTAATTGACTTATTCATGGTGAAAGCATCGGGGACACTCAGGTATTAAATGTCGACGTTAACGCTGTAATACATAAAGAATCAGATTAAAGCAAATTATAGTTTCCATATGGCCAAGAGACAGATAATTATTTTTGAATGCTGAATGTCACTCATCAGTATATTGGAACTTTTTTTTCTTTTTTTCGTGTTCTGAAACACGAATTTCAAACCAATACATTTCAACTGGAATTACCTTTCGTGCCTGGGACATGTTTTTTCCCTATCAGACAGCACATATACTGTAATGTTTTTCTTTTCTTCCAAAAGTCAGGCATTAACCAGTTTTACTGTTATGGCCCATCCACACTAATAACTACAGAGATCACTATAAAGATGCTACATCAATGCTAGCTAATGTCAGCTCTGACATAGTGGCACATGGCAGCAGTACCACTCCCTGACTTGGATGAGAGAGCTACTGATGTGACAGCAGAGGGTCAAGCTCAAATCATGCACCCTGTCTACGTTTGCAACTTGGCCTTGCAATGTACACACTTCATTTTACTGCCAGTGTTTAGAATTTAAAAACACAATTGCAGAATAAATGTGTAATTTCAATATAAAATACACTAAATATAAGTACAACACAATTTTGAACACTGTGAGGTTTCCTCTTCTATGGCTTGTTCAATCACACAATCTTTTCCACACTGGTTGTACTTAAAAGAAAAAAACACACCTTTCCTGTCTCTGAAAATGATTGTAATACCAGTGTTAAAGTAAGAAAACTAACTGGTGTGGTCATTTAATATTTAAGATAAAAATGAAGGCACAAGTATTGACTATTTGTTTGATACGTTTCATAGTGAATGTTTGTTTGAAGTTGCAGACAAGAGTATTACAGGCAACCTTACACTTGCCTTAAAGTGTTGAATAAAATGGTTAAGTTACATTTGGTATGGTCTCAGTCCCGATACACTATGGTCTCGGCCATGTCTTGGTCTCGGTTTAGGTGGTCTCGATTACAGCACTACCTGAGTCTAATCAGTCATCATAAAGCAGAACAAGCCTCACCTTGGGTTTCTTTGGTTGTCATATCAGGCGCTGTTCTCCTACCTTCTGACATTTTATGGCCAGTCTGGAAATGATGTGTCACACACATCATTACCATGAAGACTAATGTGTTCTGACGCTATTGTGACTCCTTTCAAAGGCAGAACCATTAGAAAGGGCCTAAACCATTCTGTCATTCAGGATTGTCGCTGGAAATAGGCGCAGACGACGCTGCACGATGTACCCACTGCGGATGAGCACTTTACATCTCGAATTGAAGTAGGTCACAATAAGGCCAAAAGGCGGCAATAAGATAAGGTCCTGTCTCCGGGTGATAAATGAAGTATT